CAGAGATGTGCTCTGAATTAAATCTTACTTTACATTCTATCCAAAAATACGAAAATTACGAAAACAAATATTTAAGTGCACGCTTAAAAAAAAAAAACTGCCCAGGCTGTTGAAAGTCCTTAACTTTATTTCGATGTCAGTGTCTCTATTTTGACTCTTAGAATGTTTCTTGTTTAGTTAACTTAACCATCAGTGAAATTTCTGTAGGCCTATGAGCATGAGAAAATTATTTTATAGGCCTTAATTCCTGCGCGATTTTGTTGAAACTCGATATTAAAAGAAAGAAAGAAAAAGAAAAAAGAAAAAAAAAAAACAATCGAACGAGAAAGGGAAAAAAATCTTAGAACTGACATTTCCCTCTTAACGTCAGCTAAAAAAGTTTGCGACGCCCTGAATATAAAAAATAAGAATGATAGATAAAAAAGGAAGAAATTATAACTATAATGTCTTTTAATTGGTTTAACAGAAGCGTGGGTTGATAACCTAGAAACGTATTTCCTGCCTTGCTTCAGTTTATCAAAGTAACGTTATGATTCATGGGCTCCCGTATTGTGTGGTTAAATGTGAAAAGTGTTGTTTAAATATATTGCGTTTGTACTCTATGCAAAGGAATCTGTATATAGCATGGTCATGGTTTCCGTAGAATGTGGTGAAGTGGCCAAGGTTTAATGGGCAGGGGAAATATGCTGCATTTTTTGTTGTTTTGAGACGCGACCGCAATGAATAGAGGGGAGGGATGGGTGTTAGGGGGGGGGGAGCTGCTGTAGCCTGCGGATTATTCTTTATTTGTGTCTTTATTATTGTTTTTGTCTATTCATTTGGTTATCATATTATTTATTTTCATCATTACTTTAGGATTTTTAAATATCTGATCACTGATTTACTTATCATTCACTCACCTATTTACTTATTTATTTACCTATTTGCTCATTTACATATTTACCTATTTGCCTATTTATTTATTTACCTATTTGCTCATTTACTTATTCACCTATTTGTTCATTTATTTATTCATTTACATTCGTGAGAGGACATTCGACGCCTAAACTCCTTGGTCGCTCAGCGTGAGATTGGCGAAGGGCGCCTCCCCGCGGTCGCGCCCGACGCTCGGAAGCATCAGCTGCAGGATGATGATGAAGTAGGACAAGACGGCCCCCACTACCTGTAGAAGGAGAAGACCTAGAGGATACTGACGGGAAAAAAACGCCTCCTCTACCTGCAGAAGGAAACATTGAGAATTATTAACGTAAAAACAAGATTGCCTCCAGTGGCTCTAGAAGGAGAAGGCATAGATAATACTAATGGAATGCCCCTCAATACGTGTACGATGAGAAGACCTAGAGAATTATTAACGTAAAAACAAGACCATTCCCAATACCTGTAGAATGAGGATTCCTGTTGAATACTAACATCCACCAAGACAGTCCCCATTACCTGTAGGAGTTGTGGTCATACGGGATGCTCCGAAAAGGATAAACTGGCAACTCACCCTGAATATCTGGACCAACATACACACATAATACCAACATACACATATATTTGCTGTATTCAGAAACTTATATGCAACATTTTCACTGATTTACACCATTTTTATTCTTTACACCATTTTATTATTTGACGGATCGGAGTAGTCCAGAAGCTAGCGTGAGTTGACAGTTTTTATTTTTTTCTGAAACCGGACGCATTGTAGCTAGTAATGAACTTTGATTAAATTTGCTCACCGTTATTATAAATGGACGATGAATATAGAAGAATTTCCCGCCAGTGATGCAGATGGGAGAGCCAGTCAGGGAAGTGATAAGCTCGCCAAACTGCAGGGAATTGAAATATTAAGAATTACGTTCACTTCTTGGCGGAACGGTGAAAGTCGTCTGGATTTATCAAGTAAAAGAAGTAATAGATTATATGAATAGTATTACGGCACAGAACAAAAGGAATGTATACAAAGTGAAGAAAATAAATACAAATTCCTTAATATATAAAGTAAATGACAAAAAAAAAACACTTTTCATTCTGGATGAAATAAAAACAAACAAAAAATGACTGACAAGTATAATTATAGATAACTGTAAAAATAATAAATGAATAAATGAAAAAAAATAGATAATTGAAAAAATACATATACACACGAATTGTACCCAACGTTTCTCCTGTCCTCTGACTTACATGGAATTTGACGCGATCGGGAGCGGCGAAGGGCAGCCCGCGCCGGAGCACGTCGACGCTCGCCTCCGCCTGAGAAGGGAAATATTGCTGAATAAAATTACTACTCATACTTCGAGTGCTACTGGTACTGAAAAGACTATTCATAGAACGAGCACTACTGATATTTGAAAACACTACTAAAAAATGCTGGAATCCTGTTCAAAAACATAACCGTGGCCACACACATACACAACCTCAGAGAATTTGAATAAACATACATGTAAGCTCATGTTTAGATATTCGGAAGCATTTGTATTTCCATTTTTTTTTTCGATTACAAAAAACACTGTTCTAA